AAAACATAGTAAATTCAAACCTTTAATAACTCATGAACTAATAAAGATTTACTTATAAAATTATACTTATTCGAATCGTCTTGACATGTATTTAACATAATAGAGCTATTTTGAAATTTTCAATAATAAACCTGGATTTTTGTTGCCGAATTACGCTTTAATTTATATTTAAAAAGCGAAAATGGCTCTATTATACTAAAGCGCACATTAAATCGATTCGAACAAGTATAATTTTATAGGCATATCTTCATTAGTTCACTGGATATTAAAGTTTAAATTTACTATCATTAGCATTATGCTAACAAAACAACTTCCCGATATTTACATATTGGCAACCAATAGATTTGAACTGATCGACATAAATTCGGATATTGTCGGCAATCAAAATAAATATATTTATCACGTGTGTTAAAGGCATGCCACCTGGCATGCCTGGCACGAGCTTTAGCAAATGGCATGCCGTCTGGCATGCAAAATTTCTTAGCCATGCTACACTCTAAATACATCCCTACATGTAACTTAGTGATCATAACAATGTTACATGACAAGCGCTCAGCCTACGTTAGGGATATAGCTTGTTTAATTTTGGTAAACAGATGACGTCATGATGTGTCAATCATGTGATCGTTTTTCATATAGATGCTGGTGAAATATAGCGAAATAATTTCACCACTATTGGCGAAATTAGTGTTGAATTGGTGAAATTGGTGAAATTAATTTCACCAGCATCTATACTTACACATACGTATTATTTAATTATAGTGTTACAAATCGAAAGTTGAAAAAATCGATTAATTGTTTAGTTAACAATTAATTGATTGAATTTTTTAGATATCAACTAATCGATTAATCGATTAAAGAATAATTGCTAATCGATTGAAAATTATTCAATTCTTTAATTAATTAGTTGCTATTAATCGATCAATCGATTAGTTATAACTTACAATTAATCGAAAATAGATTAATCGATTAATTGCAACTTAACAATTAATCGATTAATCAATTAGTTGCAACTAGTTCAACTGAAAAAACATTTACTCAACTAATCGATTGAAAAATTTTGACGATTTGTAACACTAACTAATTATTGATTATGACGAATGATTATTGCTTATTACGATTTTCAAATGTAATCTAAAGAAAAATTTTAAACTCAATAATTTGTTAATTTTAATATATCATAATTCTTTACTTATTACAGTATTACTTTTTTACGCAAAATATTAAGAAATAATTAATATGTAATAATATGTAACTGACTTTGCCCATTTCTCAACTTTCGGTAACACAAAATTTTGACCAATAGAATTAACAGCGCATATGTAGATCATCACAAATTTTTTACAGTACCGAATAGTAAAACGCATCCACTCTTTATTAGTAGAAATTAAATTGTTATAACTTTTTTAAACCAAGAAAAATCAAAAAACCCTCTGACAAATTGATAGATCTTTAGATAATCTACATTGCTGTCAGGGATTTTCTCTTATTGTTTGTTTTAAGAAAGTTACAAGAAATTAAAATTTATAATAGTTTATAAAATTGGCGCTTAATATAAAAAATGAAAAGATATAGGTTTATTTAACCAATCAGAATCAATTGCGCCAAAATTATCCAATATTATTGAAAAGAAAAAGTTTACAAAATTTTAAAATAAACTAAATAATAATAATATGAAATATCTTTTTATTTTTTATAACGAATACAAATTTGAAGTGACAATGTCTATTTATTTTCATTAATTTGTTTTGCTAGATTCATATATATATTTAGATTCGAATAAAAATTTAGTCCCTTAACATAAGGTTCCGCGAACAATGGCACAGTAAAAATTACAATCGGTAAATACAATGCCATCTTAAAAACCTTGATTCCAAAATTATCTTTAGTATCCTTTTCTCTTCTCACAATATTGTTTTCAACAGTCTCCAATAAAATAAAAAGTATTCCATGAAGTAAGAAAAATGCTACATAATCTAGCGAAAAATGATTAAAAGCAACTATTGCTACATAATCATGAAATAATCCGCTTATCAAAAAAACAGAACATGTACCAAGCACTCGTCCAAGAGTTTTATTGTGTTTAAAATAATTTCGAACTGGAAGGTAGCCAAGTTCTTTAAAAGCTTGGTTAAGGACTTGATGCCATTGTTTGGACCATAGATCTCGAGGCCCTGTTGAAAAATATGGTAGACCCATTATTGGCTTTGTATAGAATATTGAGATAATTAACCATTCTTTGAGTTTTGTTTTAAAAGATTTTGATTCTTCTAGTTTGCTTTTTTCTTTAACGCTGTTAGATAATAAAGGTTTTAAAAGCATTCCATAGATTATACAATCGATGTTCCATACTAGTGAAATTGATATAATTAAGTTAAATATTAAAAGAATGCAATGAAAGAAGGTATATATATCAGTAAACGGATGCCCAGTCCTAAGATAATCTAAAACTCGTAATCCATATGATCTTTCTGGAATTTCTGATTTGTTATTCCTTAAATATTCGCCTATAAGATCTAAAATCACAAATTTTATGATAGCTTTAATTGTGTGATTAATCATCTCTTTATAAAGATCCGTGACTTCAATAAAATCAATGTGTTTTTGATATTTTTGTTTGTCAGGAATCGTTACTGCATCGGGACGCCAATTGAATAGTGAACCGATGAATGAAGGAATTTTAATTTTTGAATCGATAGAAGACTGATAATTTCTTTTTAGCCATATTATCATCTTGAATGTATAAAGTGTTGCTAATATTGCTATAATCAAATGCATTAGCGATTCATATCTTCCATGATATATTAAGGGAATCAGTGCTTGAACAAAGATTATAATACAAAGTACGCAGGCGTGAAGTTTGCTAGTTATGGACTTGAAAGATAAGGAAATAAATGCGAAAAGGGGAACATGGAATACTGTTATATAAACTAGTGGACTTAATGTGGGTGGAGAATATGTTCGAGACATTTTCTACTAGTTGTTTTATGAAAATATTTTTATAAAATTGCTTGGTTGTTTGGAGTATATGTGAACATTTACGACAAGACATGAATAATTTATAAATTTTACGATTGCCATTCAACTGTCACAGGTAAACTGAAGTTCAATATGGAACCTCCCTATTGCCGCCTATTTTTGGCACCAAAAGAGGTCAATAGGGTAACGATTAGAGCAATAGTACTCAGGGGACGTCCACAATTTACGTTAAACCGGCATTATTACAGGGATCATAAAGATAATACAAAAATAATACTATATGGAATCATCTCGAGGTCTCTATTTCTATACAATGCTGTACTTGTTTAACGTAATTTATGGATGTCCCCTCCCAATAAGGTATCAATAGGGTCAATAAGGTTTTTACTGATTTTAAACTATTTAGGGAACATGTTAAACCAGTACAGTATTGTATAAAAATAGAGACCTTGAAGATAATTCCATATAGTATTATTTTTGTATTATCTCTATGATCCCTATAACAATGCCGGTTTAACGTAAATTATGGACGTTCCCTGGCGGCATCCATAATTTACGTTAAAACGGTATTGTTATAGAAATCTTAAAGATAATGCAAAAATAATACCAGATGGTATTATCTATTTCTATACAATACAGTGCTAGTTTAACGTAAATTATGGATGCCGCCTTTGATTTAGAATTAAATTTAGATGATGTGCTGTGTAAAAAGAACCAGGTATTGTATCTGGGGATATATTATATTAAAATTAATAAATCATTATATTCCCGGGTCTTATTCAAGAACAGTAAGGTTAGTGAGTAATACCCGAACCTGTGGAGGTAGAAAAGTGATGGCAAAAAAAGTTGCGACCATGCGATCGCCGACATTTCCGAACCCCTTCGGAAGCCATATACAAAATTTCTGCAACTTTGAATGAATCAAATCAGGGATGGCATGTTACGATATTGGACATTTGGACATAGTAACTTTTTTATTGGACATTAAAAAAAAATTATTTTAATCCTGGCCTAAATTAAACTTAATTCGGGCCAATATAAAATATCTCTAATTTATTGTATACAGTATTTAAAATGTATAATAATAATAATAACTATTATTATTATTATAAAATATGCATGCGTACGTACGTATTCACACTATTGAATCAACTTAAATTCCATTTTACTTACAATATGTTAATATATGTACTGTACATACAAATTTTAAATATACAGTCAACCCTCTCAGGCATGTTATATATTCATTTTTCATTACAAAGAAATGTTCATTTTTATCTCATTTGATTGATTAACATGACTTATAAATTCACTGCTAGCTTCGTTATGGTGGATAGATTTTGTATCAGTTTTGAGAGGTATCGAATTTGAAAACATAACGAACTATTAGATTTATATAACGTTGACAGACCACTTTTTATCGGGTTTGACAGGATCGGTTTTGAGAGGGTCGACTGTATACCTGATTTAGTAATTTTATTTTCTCAAGCGTCACGTTTAATCGCTAGTCTTGGTTGCCTTTGTACCATTCTATCTATAGAATAAGTAAGATCTGATTTTTATTTCTGGAATACGATTTTTGAATCACCTGCTTAAAACACTAACATTAACACAATAGTCAACAAAACAAAACTCATAAAATCGGGAAATGTTGACTTGCCAAATTCGCAATTGCTGTTTGATTATCCGATATTTACAAACTACAGTATTTCGAATTAAAAAGTCAATCGAATGTTTCACGAATTTGAAAGCGTAAGTTATTTGATTTTCTTGTCGGTTTTTTGCCTCCTAGATTATTTTAATCACCATGTTTCTTGATTAATTATTTAAATATAGCATATTGATTGTGTTTTAGATTTCTGAATCATGCTATAGTCATTCTTTAAATATATCGGTATTGGTATGTTAACAATTTGCCGGTCCTAACCCACAAGAAGTTTAGCCTTGAACGGGTTAAAGAACAAATGCAAGCCTTTGTAAGAAACTAGGCTTATCTTGACGATTTTATCCAAATTCAAAACTTTACTAGTGTAAAAAAAAAATCATCTGAAAAACTAATTTTAATTTATAATTTACCATTGAAGTATCTAATTATTATTATTTATTCGATTGCAATCTTACAATTGATTGTCTGAACCTGTTTTTAGACCAGTTCTGAACTAGTCCCAGATCCGATTCATCATGGGCCCCTAATTACTCAATCCTGTGTTTGTGCACTTTACCATTTTGACTGGTCGTATCCGAAAAATGTGACCTGAATGTAGGAAATTTTACGTTGAAATACGTAAGATGATTACGACGATTATCATGGTTCGAGTAATTATTGTGAACATCGCAATTATTGCGATATTTCGATCATACGCGTCATGAATTGATCATCAATGCGTAAAAATTGACGGCAATTTTTTTTTTTTAAGGGATTTTTCGCGGTGATAGTATTAATGTATAATGTGAAAGTCTATTGTATTATGTAATTACATGTGAGTTAAATAAATAAGAAGTTCGATCTGTAAGATCGAACCCACAATTTGATTTTCTTGAATAATAAACTTGAGCCTTGTTTAATAAATAAAATATATGATATGAAGATCCCAAGTTGCTTGATTAATTTACAATACAAAAAAAGCATTACCTTATTTATAAACATATTATTATGGCACAAATCAATGGTATAAAATTTATTTTTTATTCTATTTAATCAAACTATTGCAAAAAATCAGTTATATTCTATTTTGTATTTAAATAAAAGAAGCTTCATTTCTTTACTCGCTAGACACTGAATACAGTACAGATTCAATAGAATTTTGACCTTTTGAGAATTATTCTCAATTTTTAGCACATGGCACTTATCAATTAGCTGATTCAGAAATTAAATATTCTGAGTATAACCATGAAGACAATAAAAATAATATAATAAAGTATTATCTCAACCTAAAAGAAGATTAGAAAGATTATTATTGTATCAGATTATGAATAAAATCTTTTGTTGTGATATAAATTAATTTTACATATGGTCCAGTGCAGAAAGATTTGTACCTGAAAAAGTTTTTTTAATTTTGATGCTTAATAAAAATTTTCAAATTTTTGATTCATTATTTAAATTTTTTTTTATATTAAATAAAGTAGGTTTTAATCTATCTTTTTATATTATTTTTTTTTGTTTTAATATAAATTTATTTTAATAATTAATAATATACAACCTTTTGAATTTAATAAAAAATAAAAAATTTTTTAAAAAAAAATTTATTTTAAGCATTTTTGAGACCAATATGCAATTCTATAAGCTTGTGCTATGCAAGTGCATTGATGTACATATAATAAATATATTTTAAAATTTGAGCAAATTTGAATTAGTAGTTGTAAAGCAGGCCTACCGAAAAATTAATTGCAATTAAATTATCACAAAAATAATTGAAACTCAATTAATGACGAAATAA